AAAAAAACACTGAACCCTTGAGCCCGAGATTACTGCAGTTAGCCGCAAGCTCTAAGCCCAAACCCGACCCTGGACCCTAGGATGTCCTGAATCTCAAATGCCTGAGAGTCTAAACTCTATGTGAGAGTTGGTGGCTGGGACATACAAAGCTGAAAGCTGCATCCGGGGCGGATCTGGCGACACGGAAAACGACACGAGGGTGTGTGATCGGATGCTTCAAGCATACATTCGCATCGTCCTCGCACGAGATCCCCGAGCCTTACACTCACACTTCTCATCTTGAACTCTCGGCCAGGTGTTGTGGACTACGCTCCTTTTTTCGCCAACATTCTAGAAGAAGTGGGCGATGGGGCTTCTGGTTTTAATTCATATCAATGGGCACATGCTACCGTAGTGTTCTCGTGTTCTCCTTATCGGCTCGCCCAGGCCTCATCCGTACAACGGCAGATGCGATCTGCCCGGGCAGCTCAAGCAGCCGCCCAGCAGCACACGCAGCCGCCATTAATGAAAGATTCTAGGTTCGGAGTTTTCGGGCTTTGGGTTTGGGTAGAAGGGTTTGTGTTCATGGTATATAGCTCCGGTGTTTCGAATGTATTGTACTTACCATCTCAGGAGTGTGGTAAGTTCAATTTGGCACCGCAAACTCGTGCTAAGAGCCGAGCAGAACGCCACCCGTGACTTCATCAAGCAGGTCCCTCTTCCGTTGGAGCTTGGGCAGCATTATGGGGTAGCATCTCAGCTAGATACAAGCACAACACGAATGAAAACTTGGCCAGCTAAGAAAACGCACGATGTGATGGTTCCGTTTAAAAAAGATCCCCTCGATGCTGACTGTCGCGACTGGGTCTATCGGCCGGTGCCTATCTTTTGGCCACATGAGGTATTGCACTCCATGTTTGAATCTGTGTGAGTCAAAGTTTCGAAACCGACGTTGGTGGAGTACTGGACCCAAGCTCGTGAGCACAATTTGTCGTGGGCGAAAGCTTCCGAAAACGATGCTTCGCCAAGGATTCCTGTAAAGCTCTTTGGCGACGATGCTACGTACAACCAGCAGGGAGACAAAGTTCTAGGCTTTATACTTTCCTGTCCTTTGTGGAGACCTCGTAGTGGCCGTGCCTCAAGGTGGCCAGTTGCTGTTGTGTCCTTGAAAGGAAATTTGGGCTTTCCAACGATACAACCACTTCTCCATGCACTCGTGTGGTCCTTGAATCAAGCCTTTGACCTGCCATCCCCGACTGGGCTGATGTTCCAATGTACTGAAGTCGGCGGTGATTGGAAATACCTTCGTGAGGCACTGAACCTGCAGTGCCACTGGAACTCCGAATCGATGTGTCATTTTTGCTCCCTGCGAAGAAGTGACTTCCCTGACTTCCCGGAGCCTCTCCCTTGCAGAACTTTCGTGCAGTTCGTGAATGAGGCTATGGATGCGACTTGGCCTTCGCCGTTAATTCTTCTGCGACGATTCGACATGTCTGTCATGCAGTGGTGCCTTCGGCACACAGTGCACCTGGGGCTCCTTTGGACAGCAAGCGGCGGTTGCATCGACTACCTTTTGAAGTTGGGGGTGTTTGGTAACCCAAGCATAAAACTTCGGACAAGGTTGAACAATGCCTACGATTCGTTCTTGACATGGCGAAAACAAAACCATGTGCCATCGACACAGCGAAGCTTCACTCCCAAAATGATCTACAAGAAGTCACACGGAGCTTATATGTCTTGCAAGGGATGGAATGCCAGGGTCGTTTGTGCCTGGCTTGCAGAAACCTGCTTCGACACGTGGAGCCGGAGTGCCGGCAATGACGAGGAGTTGACCCTCCTCACTCATGCTATGCTCCCGGCCTGAAAGATTTTAAAGACGGCAACATATGATTTGCTGCATGGGCTCATCTCGTCGTTGCTTAAATCCAAGGACATCAATTGCAAGATTTTTGGCCATCTCGGAAGAGGCTCCACGTTGGTTGTTTCTCGGCTTGAAACTGGAGACCCTAAACCTACTACTGGGTACTTGCTCCTATGTGGTCCTTGAGGTCTGATTCCTACGCATTCGAGACCTACGACACCGGTATGGGTTTTCTTCGATCACACCGAGCATTGTCACGACTTTGCCAAATGCCACCTTGGTCATGATTTGTTTTTTGAAGTAATCCTCTATACTCCGATGCCCCTGTGTGCGATGCCAAGGAAAAATGTTCGACGATGGTATATGAAACCAAAGGCACATGTGCCCTGACTCAGCAATCCGCTTGGCTACATTTTGTTGAGAGTTTCTTTTGGGAACAGAAATGCCCAGCATGGACAAGGCCTTTCAGCATCAAGTCCTGCAGCAGCTTCACACCCGAATCTTCGATGAATATGTTAAAAGATAGAGGGCTGTCCAATATCAAACCATTCGTGAGCGAGCCTGTAACCAAGGCATGTGCGAAAGATATGTGCATGGCTTCATGTGCGAAGACCAAATGGGTTACTTGAAACGTGCTCCACCCAGATGATCTGAGATTTAGACATGGATGGATCTAGGTTGATTTTTTTTGTGACTCAGGTTTGGCATGCCGTGCGAAACCGAAGGCCTTTGAAAGAGGCATCTTGCGATTCACAGGCGGGTGCCCAAAATTGATATAGCTTGAGCATCACGAGCACGATCGGCGGAGCATCAGTGCCAGGTATCTGGCTATGCGGCTGAAGTTGAGAAGGCTTGGAATGAAAGCAATATCAACCCATTCGGTTCTCATTCTTTTCGTGTTGGCCAGGCTCAAGATGAATGAGAGTGCTGCGAGCCGGAAGCAGTGATCGTTTGTCGAAGGCCGAAAAAGGTCGATCAGGGCACTGTTCTTGCACTTTTCTTACAACAAACTGATGCAGCACATGAGTTTGGACAAACAGGGTAGTTCAGCGCCCCTAGAAAGCAGGGTGTTTGTAACAGCGCCCGTGCTTTCCACGGCAGCCAGAATATCAGGGTTAAAAGGAAATTACAAGCCTGGGCAAGCCTGGGGACGCGTCTGTCCCCCCTCTGGCCGTCCTTGGCTGCCTTAAACAGCAATTGCAAGCCTTGGGAAGCCTGGGGACGCGTCTGTCCCCCCTCTGGCCGTTTTTCGCTGCTTTAAAAAGCAATTACAAGCCATGGAACGCCGGGGACGCGTCTGTCCCCTTCTGCGGTCGTGCTTGGCTGCCTCAAAAAACAATTACAAGTTTTGGGAAGCCCGGGGACGGGCAGGGCAGGGCAAGGCAGGGGGCAGGGGGCAGGGGGGCAGGGGGCAGCGGGCAGGGGGCAGGGGGCAGGGGGCAGGGGGCAGGGGGCAGTCGGTCGGGGACCTCGGTCGGAGCCTCGAGCGCCCATGCAAATGGTCAGCGGCGCTCTCGGCAGTTTAGGGTTCAGGGTTTAGGGTTTAGGGTTCAGGGTTTGGGGTTTAGGGTTCAGGGTTTAGGGTTTAGGGTTCAGGGTTTAGGGTTCAGGGTTTGCTGCAAGATTGCGGATTGTAGGATTTATTAGTGGTTTTGTTGCCTGCGAATCGCAGCCGGGCCATCACATAACTCACCCACCCCAGGCCATCTGAGGCGGCAAACCACCCAAACCTATACCTTTTAGGGTTTAGGACCTAAACTCTGTTAGGTCCATGTTGGTTAACAACAACCACACATTTCTGCAGCTGCTCCGAAAAGGCAGGGTAGAGGAGGGCAAAGTACGGCAAGAGTGTCCAAGTCCCCCCTAGGAGGCCCCTAGGTCCTGGAACTCTGCTCGCTGCAGGCCCCAAGCCCCCCTTGGGGGGGTTCCTTTTTGGAGGGGGGCCCACAGGGCCAGCCTCCAGGATGAAGGGGGTGGGGTTTAGGGCAATAACTTTATCGGGACCAGCTGGTCCCGGAAAGAACGTGTCCCGGTACCGGGCCTAACGTGGGTGCTACAGTACTCCTGGCTGTGGGACGGCGGGCGAGCGTCCTGGATCGACTTGCGCCATCGATGTCGAAGGGCATAAGCGCCGCCCACCATCCAAGGTGGGCGGCCTAGGCCCTGAGTTTAGGGTTCAGGGTTTAGGGTTGAGGGTTTAGGGTTTAGGGTTCAAGGTTTAGGGTTTAGGGTTTAGGTTTCAGAGTTTAGGGTTTAGGGTTCAGGGTTTAGGGTTCAGGGTTTAGCGTCTACAAAGCCTTGCAAACAAGCATGAGTTAGTACCCAAACCCTAAACCTCAAACGCTAAACCCTTGAACCCTAAACCCTTAAACCCTAAATCCAAGGACTGATCTGAGCTCCAACGGACGTGCCGAGTTGGTGTTGTTTGCACTTGAGGCCATGGCTCTTCTGCTCCTCGTGCTAGTCTTCCATGCAGCCTTGGACCATTTGCTCCAGCATGGGTTGCAACAGTCTGCCAGCCAGAAAGGCTGCCTCGCACAACCCCTAAACCCTAAACCCCTAAACCCTAAACCCTACTCTGCTGCAGGCCCCGAGCATCAGCTACCAGAGCCCAGGCTTCTACGATGGCCGGGTGCCGAATCGAAAAGCATGGGTTTAGGGTTTAGGGTTTAGGATCGAAAAGCATGGAACAGGCCTCGGCAGCAGCTCGATCTGCCTCTTGAGAGATCATACCCGCGGCCACCTCTGCAGGACGATCCTGCGATGCTTCCCGAACCGCGTCTTCCACAGTGTGATGTGATGGCTGTTATGGGGGATACCTTCCCAAACCATAACAGTAATGCAACCCTTATGCCTTATAGTAACCGTTACAAAGCCTGCAAGGAGCTGCAAACCGAAAGGCAATACAGCAGCCTCGACAATTAGAATAGGGTCTTGGGGACATCTTGAGGAACCCTACGGAATAACAATATTGTAATTATTTGGGCGCCCATATTGCCCTAAACAGTGAACCCTGATACCCTGAACCCCGAAAACCCCCTAAAAAGCAAATCCAGGGCTTTGGGGTTCTATGTTACTGAACTTAGAACCCTAGCAAAAATTTTAATTTTAGCTGTTTCTTAGGAATTATAATAACCTAAGTCTATGTTAGCCAAGATGCGTGCCAGAGCTCACTCCTGGAGCAGTTGTAGCACCTTCCTCGAACGTATCAGCTTTAGGGTTTAGGGTTTAGGATGTAGCGTATAGGGGTTTAGGGTTTAGGGGTTGAGGGTTTAGGGTTTAGGGGGGTATGGGGCTGACGTTGCAGAGTGCTGAAAGGAACACATGGGCTTAGAAATAAGTGTAAACTACAACGAAACAGGGTCTTCTCCCTCTCTGGACAAGAGTACAGACAGCGCAGGCTCTGCGCATCAACAGTAAAACCGCAGCGCCTTTAATGACAAGTAGGGTGTTGGTGTATACGAATATCCGAATATTCAGTTATACTGCGACCATGCATTACTACTGAAAACTTATAAGATCTCTGTACTAATGACAACCGGCAATGCCTTTGAAAAGGGTGATCGGCGTTGGCACCATAAGTCCCAAAACTCAAATCCTAAAACGCCCAGACCCTTGCGGCTTGTAGATGAGAGTGGGGTTTGGGCTTCGGCTTGAGGACTCTCATGTCGTGTAGAACCCTGATTATTGTACTAGATGAAGCCGATGGAACCATGCGAAAGTCTGACTCAGGAAAAAGTAACTTACCCCAGCTGCCCCAGCTGCTTTGAACTGTTGTCCGATACGCCATCACAACCTGAAACCCCAAAAACCCTGCAACCCCAAACCGACCCCTGCGACTGCAAAAACCCTTGCTGAAGGGTTTAGGGTTTAGAATTCAGGAGAGCTTCCTGCAACTTACGAACCGGAACATGTCGTTGGAGTCTAGGGTTGTCCGAGGCAGAAGCAGCAAACATTTTCGAATGTGCTCGCGCACGTCCATCACATAAGAATCCCAAGCCGCATACCTGTGAAACCCGTCTGAAACCACTATGAACCGGCACAGCAGACTTTACACAGACCCTTGTACACATCCGTCTGAAACCCTTACCCAAAGGTTCCAAATATACTACCAGTATACATAAACCATCCTCATCATGGTTTTGGGAAACCTGATTACACAAAAAGACATGAAAATGGACCCTCTTGGTTACGGAAGCCCTAGTCGAACCCTGAAGTTTAGTATTAAGGCTTTAGGGCTTAGGGCTTACCTTCATCCTGAATATCCTACCTTTTTAAGGACTTATAAATAAAGAAATCATAATAATAAGGAGCCCTAAAAAGGCAGCTTCTTCAGGGTTAAGGTAGGGCCTAAGGGTTCAGGGTTTAGGGACTAGTTGAGAACACACTCATAGAAACCCTGAGACCTTCCGGAATGCTCCCGAAGCACTGAACAGCGCACCTCTACTTAAAAGATCATGGGACTTGGTAACTAGGGTTATGGTTAGGGTCACTATACTTATAACTACGTATACCCCAGCTAAAGTACTTTCAACCTTCATTACTTACTAAGTCCCATGATCCCCCAAGTAGGCTTTAGGATTTAGGGCTTAGGGCTTGGGCTTTGAGCTTGCGGGTTTCTGAAGCAGCCCTACCATGCAAAACCCTCAACCCTAAACCTTAAACCCTAATCCGTGATCCCTAAGCTTTAATGCTTAAACCCTGAACCCTTATCCGGAAACCCTAAGCGCTAATGCCTAAACCCTAAGCCCTAAACCCTAAACCCTAAACCCTAATCCCGAAACCCTAGTTCCTTTCCCGAGCCTGCGTCGTTCCCGCCGTCGGCTCTGCCGTCGGCTGCGCCGTGGGCTCGGCGGTCGGATCTGCCGTCGGCCGAGTTGCAGCCTCAATTTCAGGGCCCTGCCAGTACTTGGAGGATCCTGGGACTTAGTAAGTAAGGGTTCCTTAAAGGGCTCCTTAAAGGGATCTATAGGGTTTCTATAAGGGGATCTATAGGATTAGGGTTTAGGGTCTACTTGGAGGATCATGGGACTTAGTAAGTAAGGTTATAAGTTCCTTAATTGGGGTTATAAGTAGTTAGAAGTATAGTTACCCTAATTTGAACCCTAGATACCAAGTCCCATCATGATCCTTTAAGTAGACCCAAAACCTAAATCCCCATAGATCCCTTTAAGGAACCCCTATAGACCCCTTTAAAGGAGCCCTAGATACCAAGTCCCATGATCCTTTAAGTAGCCCTTCAGAAAAGGAGCCTCATTGGGTGCCTGAAAGGGCTTCCTAAAGGGATCCTTAAAGGGTGCCTTTAAAGAGCTATATGAGAGTTTCCAAAAATAGGGGACCCTAATATAGTACCCTAATTAGTAGGATCCTTATTATAAGGACCCCAAAAGAAGGTACTCCCTATTGTCGGAAACTCCCACAAACGAAAAGGGTTCCCTTATCAGGGTTCTACGTGGCCCTTAGTTCTATGCTAGGATACCCAGTAACCTAGGAACAAAAAGGCCTCTCTTTTTGGTATTGGGTAACTTTATAAGGAACCTCGGACTACAAAAAGGGAATAAGGCTACTACTGGGCATCCTAGGTAGGCTTAGGGTTTAGGGTGTGGGTTTGCATGATATAAGGGGCTTTCATGAAGTGAAACTGGGCTTTATGGTTTTTGGGGTGGGGTTCTATGGGCCTACTTGGGTTTGACGTCTATGGGGTATCGGTTTGGGTATACTATTCCAGGACCAAGTCCCACTTGCGGAATTCCGTGGCCAAAGGAAACTCGCATCTGTAGGCTAGGGTAAGACTTCGCTGCGCCCGAATCCCTAAACGCCTTAATTCAGGAGTAAAGTGCGATTCTTGAAGTACGTGGAAGTTCCATCAACATTGGCGGTTGTTTGCAAGTGAAGTTACCGTTTAGGGTTGAAGGTGTAGAGTTTACGGCGCAAGCTGTTAAGGTTTAAGACTTGGGCTTGAAGCCCTTAACCTCGGGGACCCGAAAACCCTAAACCCTAAACCCGAAAACCCTAAACCCTAAATCCTAAACCCGAAAACCCTAACCCCGAAACCCTAAACCCTAAACCGCTAAACCCCAAAACCCCAAAAACCCTAAAACCCTTCAACTGCAGGTTCAAGGCCTTTGGGGTTTCGGGAACCCTAAGCCTTTGGAAGGTTTCGGGCTTGACGGTTTGAGGTTTAGGGTTTAGGGTTTAAGGTTTAGGGTTTAAAGTTCAGGGTTTAAGGTTTAGGGTTTAAGGTTTGGGGTTTAAGGATTAGGGCTTATAATGGGGTTTAGGGTTTAAGGTTTAGGGTTTAGGGTTTAAGGTTTAGGGTTTAAGGGGAGTGAGCCCAATGCTTGTGCACGTAGTGGCCTGGCATAGCATAGGTTTCCTTCTTGGCGGTTCTACGAGAGTTCTGAAATGAGGGCTCAATGTAAAAAGGCCTTTTGTAACCATTGAGTAAGCTATCACCATGAAACTTGAGTCCTGAATCCTAAGCCCCAAACGACAAGCAGCACCTATGCCTGAATGAACAACGGTGACTTGTAATCTTAACAGTACACGTGCGAACAATCATCAAAATGCACAAGCGAAAAGAACACAAACCCCAAACCCTAAACCCTAAACCCTAACCCCCAAACCCCAAACCCCAAACCCTAAACCCTAAACCCTAACCCCCAAACCCCAAACCCTAAACCCAAACCCTTAACCCTACAGGCCCTAAAGCTCAAAGCCTAAAGAGTAATAACTCGTCCCGCTTCGGATCCTTCACTAAACCCAAGAGTAACCTAGGAACAAAAAGGGTGCCCTTTTTGGTTTAAAGGGGCTTATAAGGGAACCTGAACCCCTGAAAAAGGGAATAAGGGCCTACTCTAGGTCCTAGTTCATGCGTTGTTCACAAAATGCCGCTCGGGAAGCTCGCTTGGAAGCTCACTGCAAAGTGGAGTTTTCACCCAGCAACTCACTTCAAAATGCAATGGCGCTTGCAGCAGCAATCCTGCTCCGACAAGGCTTCGAACCTCCCTCCTTGAAGGATCATGGGACATAGTAACTAGGGTTATAATTAGGGTAACTATACTTATAAGTACTTATAACCCCAATTAAGGGACTTATAACCTTACTTACTAGGTCCCATCATCCTCCAAGTAGCTGGAACGGAGCATGATAACCCTAAACCCTAAACCCTAACCCGAAACACGTCATCTCGATCCTGTCAATACGCCCTCGAAAGCTGGGATTAAGGTCTCTGATGCCCAGTAACCTAGGAATGAAAAGGGCTCCCTTTTTGGTATTGGGTACCTTAATAAGGAACCTAGGACGACAAAAAGGGAATAAGGGTACTACTGGGCATCCTAGAGGTAGGCAGGATGAAGGATCCCTCCTATGTTGGAATTACCCAACCTACCCAAAGCCCCTAAACCCCTAACCCCACAAACCCCAAAGCCCTAAACCCCTTCAGCCCTAACCCTATCCCCAAACCCCTGAACCCTACACCCTAAACCCCCCTGAACCCCTGAACTTCTAAACCCCTAAATCCTTGAGCCCAAAACTCTGAACCATAATAACGAATATCCCACAAAACCCTATACCCTAACAGCTAATTACCCTAAACCCTAAACCCTAAAAGCTCTAAGCCCTAAACCCGTCATCCCTGGAGCCCCTTGAAGAGGGCTCGCCTCAAGGAGCTTCGCTGCTTGCAGGTGTGTGAGGCATGCACCTTGGAGAAGAGGGCTTAGGGTTTCTGGGGCTGAGGGTTTAGGTCTTTTAGGGTTCAGGGTTTAGGGCTTAGGGTTTCTGGGGCTGAGGGTTTAAGGCTTTCAGGGTTCAGCGTTGAGGGCCTAAGGGCGCGTGAGCTGCACCGGGAACAAATCCGGTCATAAAACCATTAAGATGGCACGCATTACTCTCGCCTTAGAGTTACACTGTACACGGTTTAGGGTTTAGGGTTTAGGGTTTAGGGTTTAGGGTTAAGGGCCAAAGGTTACAGCTCACCCATCAAGTTGGAAACTGGACGATCTGGAAATAGTGCTGGCATTCGCTGTAAATAGCAGTGTGGTGTTTTACTTGGAACTCAACGTACAACCTGAGCACGATGTCCCCTGACCCCAACGAGTATACACACACCCGAAATCTTCCCGCCTCCGCGAAACTGCAAACTGCAGAAAGATTCGGAATGACGAAGGGGCTGCAAGGCGTCTGCAAGGGCCTTTTCAACTAACATAAAACGTTGGACAGATTTATTCTGTACCTATAATCAGGAACCCTTAAGAATACTATTGCTGTTCCAGCTTTTTCTGACCCCTAAACCCGAAGCCCTAAGCACAAACAACTAAACCCTAATGGATCCTACCTGGAAGGAGTAGCGTCGCCAAAGGTCTGCCTGCCTAAAGAACCTACCTGTTTAGGGCTCCTTGTTATGATTTCTTTACATATGTCTTGAAACACGTAGATCGTAGATGATTCGAGCTTAAGGTAGGGTCCCGGTAGGGTGCAGGGTTGCAATGTTTCACGGTTTCCGGTCGACGGCTTTCAGGGCTTATGTAAGTTGAGGAAGCTTCCTCGTCCCTCAACCCTACTTGGATTAAGCCGGCATGTCAGGAAGGACTTCTCCTCTTTGGTTGTCTACGGTTCGCATACTAATACGAATACTAATACGAAAAAATACGAATCCCTAAACCCTACACCCTAAACCCTAAATACGAATACTACTCTGCAAGGTTGGAGCGATCCGGGAATCGAGAGCTGTAGGAGGGCTTTTCTTACCTTTGGTTAGTAGGGAATAGAAGAATGGTAGCACTAGCAGTCATAATTGTACCCCATGCCTCCATTCCCTACTAACCAAAGATAGTTATGGCGTCTGCAGTAAGCGAATTCGGGTTCAGGACACGTGCTGCTGCTTTTACCCTGGAGATCTACGGACTCATATTCATATGTGAAGTTCCTCTAAAGGGGATCTACAAGGGTCCTTTAAAGGGATCTATAGGGTTTAGGGATCTAAGGACTCATATATTCAAGGCTATTGGGCCCAAAGACCATACTATATAAGCCTCTTGGGCTATTTTGATACCCAGGGATACAGCATTAACGGAAGGAGTCCAAAGCCACGTGGGACTTTTCTTCTTCTGAGGCGCAGCAACCGGACGGCTTGAGCATGAGCGTGAGAGTCTGCACGTGTCAGTGTTAAACTGTTCTCGCGCACATCCTTCTGTGCACCGGCCTCCAGTACTGAAGCAAACGGACGATTTGAGCATGACCATTCAATTTTGCATGCATCAGCGCTGTATGACCCTCGGCGTCACGCAAATCCTTGCGAGCACCTGACCCCAGCAGCAACGTCACTAGTGAGGGATGACCTCTCTCTACTGCAACCATCAGCGCTGTGCCGCCACGTGCGTCTTGTAGATCCTTCTGGGCACCCGCCTCAAGGAGCAACCGCATGGCTGGAAGACCACCGCTGCAAGCTGCAAACATGAGGGCTGTGTTGTTCTCGTCATCACGCGCATCCTTCTGGGCGCCTGCCTGCAGAAGCAGCTGCATGACTTCAGGAGAACGACGGTTTGCCGCTGCAAACATCAGTGCTGTATTGCCTTCATCGTTCCGCAGTTCCTTCTGAGCGCCGGCTTCCAGGAGAAGCTCTGCGACATCCATGCGGCCGCTCATGGACACGAGCATCAGTGGTGTCACGCGATCATAAGACCTAGCTCATGGTTGCGAGACGATTAAAAATGTACATTTTTATTCCTTCTTGGGTTTAAGTGCCCATAAAAATGTAAAATGTTACCCAACTATGACAAAGAGACCCTAAACCAGCCATAGACCCTTACATAATCCTAAACCAACTATGACAAAGAGACAAATCCGGGTCCAGAGGGAGCTGCAGCAGAGCTTCAACCTGGCAAATTGCAAAGCTTGGAGCAGGGTTCCGCTTAAAGGGTTCCTTAAAGGGCTCCTTAAAGGGATCTATAGGGTTTCTATAATGGGATCTATAAGGGTTTAGGGTCTACTTGGAGGATCATGGGACTTAGTAAGTAAGGTTATAAGTACCTTAATTCGGGTTATAAGTAGTTATAAGTATAGTTACCCTAATTATAACCCCAGTTACTAAGTCCCATGATCCTTTAAGTAGAGGTGAGGAAACGAGCACGGAGTTGGGAAGGTTTTGCAGTCTAGGAAGAGCTCACAGCATGGCGCAGTTCACTGTTAGTACCAGGTCCCCTGCCTCGTCCTTGAGGCCTTCTCTAGCCGCGTTGAATAGCCCTTTCTTCTGGTCCTCGGAAGCCTCGGAGAAGGCCAAAACCAGAAGCTGTAGATCAAGCACGGCATTCTCTCTTTGCTGCATATGGGAGCTTCCGACAACGAGGGGTACCTTATTTTGGGGTCCTTATAATAAAGATCCAACTATTTAGGGTACTACATTAGGGATCCCTATTTTCGGAAACTCCCACATAAAGCAGCCCTGGCCTGCGTCGCCTGAGCATTTCCTAGGTTGGCCCCTTAAAGCCTCTGAAAAGTATTCGTAAATTGGGTCCTATTGAGCCCAACAAGGGAAAATAAAAAATATCCCAAAGGCCTACCTAGTTTCCTCTTTGTCCTCCATAGTCAACTGCCGCTTCAGCGCGCCGGAAGCAGAATCGCGCTCAGTCGCGGCAGCCTGCTCGCTCTGTTCGATTTCGGGAGCATCAGAGGGGGTCCTGGCCACAGCTTGCTGTTCCATCACGGAAGCCAATGTGACGGTATCATCCAAAGGTTTTCTCTCGTAAAGAAGCCTCTGCCTGAAGCGTGGTGGCAGGCCGTGCTGCTCGTGCAATCGTTGCTTCAAGGCTTTCACATCACTCAGATTGGAAAGGGAAAAGCTTGCCAAGTCTTCCCCTGAGAGTTTCCTGATGCGCAGCATTGCTGGCCGAGACGCAACAGACCAATTAAGCTGTGGTTTTGTCAGTGGCTGTGCGTGTTGGGCAGGTGCTGCATCATGTTCATCCTGAGTCTTTAGTTCATGGAGTCGAGGGCATGCCCGCGTTGAGCGGGACTGTTCTAAGGAGAGCCGAAACATCGAGCACAAAGCCATGAAAACTGCAAAAGGTAGGCCACATTCACCAGAACCGCCGTTCTGATATCCAAGCAACCCACAAGAAACCACGAATCGCAATTGTCAGTTGCGGCCTCTGCACCCTGCACCCTGTGCCGGAAACCCTGGTCCCCTTGCACCCAAAAGCCCGAGCGCTTCGGTTGATGATATAAATCCTGCATTACCTATAATAAGGAATATACCATAATGCCCATCGTTTAGGGTCCTTAAGGTAATGCAGGATTTATATCATCAACCGTTGCACCTCAATGCAATGCAGGACGAGATAAACAGGAAACGATACCCTAACTGGGCCCGAAACCCCAAACAATGCAAAAAAAAAAATCCGAAGCCGTGAGAAGTAAACCCTAAACCTTACACCTCTAAACCAGGTACGGTCCTGATTTACGACCGCGGTTCTGACTAGAGCTGGACATATGCATCCCGTTGCATCGGCGAATTTGGAACCGGTTCAGGGTCTAGGGACCGGCGTCTTAACTTGGCTCCTGAGCCCTAACTTACTCCCTCAATAAGCCACAGAAATCAAAAGGTGAAACTACTAAACTGTAAGAGCCCCAAAAAGTTTAAAGGTTGGGTATTGAGGATCTAAGCTAAACATCCCCAAAACTCTGAACCAAATGGGTGGTTGTCAAAATTATGGTCCCTTTTGGGGTACCGTAAATAATAGGTGCCGTATGATAATAAGGACCTAAAAAGGGACCCTAGTTTGGACAACCACCCGAATGAGTCGGACTGGACGAGGTACATTGGCAGCCCGCCGTAGCATAATACTTTCCACCCTCGCAGTAGAAAGCACAGGACCAGTAGTAGGCCTGGCAACTGCCACTTGGAGGATCATGGGATTTAGTAAGTAAGCTTAGGGATCTTTAAAAGGGTTCCTTAAAATGGTCTGGGGTTTAGGGTCTACTGGGAGGATCATGGGACTTAGTAAGTACGGTTATAAGTACCTTAATTGGGGGGTTATAGGTAGTTATAAGTATAGTTACAGTAAATATAACCCTAGTTACTAAGTCCCATGATCCTTTAAGCACGCATGGGGGCCAGAGGGCTCCAGAAGGGCTGCACCGGGGGTTTGTAGGGTTCTACCTATAGTCTCCATTGTAGTTCCTCCTTTGGCTAACCAGTTGTATGGTTAGGATCCTCCAACAGAGATTTTGGTTAGCCAAGACAAGGAACTACACTGGAGACTATGGGTATAAGGGCTTCTATATTTCAGTCGACGTTGAGTGTAAGTTTCAGGACGAGGCTTTATGGTGTAGGCTTTCGGATATGAGGCCTGGCTCGGTGCATGAGCGCCCAAAGTCATCATGAGCAGTTCGATTCGGACTAGACCTGGCAAGGTCCGCTGTAAACGGTATTGAACAGAAACACCATCATCTTCTACATCCGGTAAATCTCCAAAACGAGTGCTGGGCCAGTGTTTGTTCCAAACCGAGAAATCAAACACATCAAGCTCATACTTCATGCACGCCTGTCCCCCTGCAGTAGTAACTCAAGGCTCGAAGTGCTCCAACACCACAGGGAAACAGTAGGTTGAGAGCAAAACATCGGAAAACATTCCCCTCAAGCCCTAAACTGTAAACCTGTTTCGAAGCCCCTAAAAGGCCCTCAACCCCAAATCCCAAACTGAAACCTCAAAACCCCAAACCCCATACCCTGAACCTCACTACCCCAAAACCTGAAAGGAAAAATGCCGAAGCAAGTACTACAGGTGCCTTAATAAGTAGAATAAGGATTTTGGGGCCCATTTCAAACCCAAACTTGTGTTTGGCCCCTACATTACCTATGCTGAACTCAGAACCTTGGCGAAAATTGTAATTTTAGCTGTTTCTTAGGGATTATAATAACCAAAAAGTTAAAAATTAAGTACCCCTAAGTTATGAACCTGGGCTATTTGGGCATGTGGGACCGGCCTTTCCCTGGGAGAAATCGAAATAGCCAGGGGCGCATTGGGGCTCAACAGTGTCCTGGGTCTAGGGTTTAGGGTTTAGGGTTTTGGTTTGAGGTTTAGGGTCTAGGGTTTAGGGTTTAGGGTTTAGGGTTCAGGGTTTAGGGTTTAGGGTTTTGGTTTAGGGTTTAGGGTCTAACCCTAAGGGTCCAAGTACCTAATTATCATATTCTCTCCAAAATCCTGACCTACATAACTACTACCCGGTTGAGTCTCTCTCTCTCTCTCTCTTGCTTGCTGAAGGCTCAGAGCACTCTCTCTCTCTCTCTCAGAGTCTCTCTCTCAGTCTCTCTCCACAAAAACTTGGGTAGAGCACCGGCCAAAGCGTCGGTGGTCGACTTGCACGTGCTCCTGCGCCACCTGTCAGAACTGCAAACGCGGTGACCGGACTGATCACGCACATCAGGCGGGACACAAAATGATTTCTCAGAGGCAGACGAGCTCCTGCACCTTGCCAGCAGACACTGCGACTCACACAGACGGAGTCACAACCGATTTACCAGCAGGTACAGCCACGGACACGTTTGACGACAGCGACACTCACACACACATACGCACCAGCTAACGAAGCGGGGAGCAGACGGCATCACGCCAGCGTCGTCGGGCCTGTTGGCATCGATCGAGCGGCTGAGACGAACGTCGCGAGCGCACCTTTCCTACCGAGGCGACTGCGGAGAAGCCCAACGTGGGATCGACGCGAGCCTGATCAGAAGCGGGTATCAGCCGACAGGTCGACTTCATACACTCCTACCTTGGGCTTTGCGCGACGGCTGGGCCAAGAAACCTAATCAGTGAGAGCCACGCCAGAAAGACCAAACTTCGCAACCCTCGGACCAACGAGCTCACAGCCGGTGCTGACACCACGACGCCCTCCTGTGCGTAAAGCCAATCAGACTCACAGCTCGAAATCTAGTCTAGTGATCGCGAAGCCGCGCCTGAAGCCAGTCGAGGTAGTGAGTGACCTGAACACGTGTAGACAGCGCGACATCGTCGGCGGCATGCTCCAAACGACAGCCGAGTGCACTGCTGCTGGGGTCTCCACCCCTTCCTTATCATGCAACAATGCCGAATACGTTTATGTTTGCCTGCGTGTGTGTGGCCTCGCAAAAGCATCGCCATTGCAGGTCCTTGCAGTATACCAGACCAGACATTCGAACTATCTCCTTTCCTCTTCTCACTTCCCACGAATCGAGGCCGGGACGAAGCTGATGGGAGGATTCAAAGGAGAGGCCTCGTCCGGGACCTCTGTTTCCTGAAACCGAAAGGCAGGATGGTCTTCACTACGAGCAGACTAATTCCGTTCAGAGCCGGACGTGCTTTCTGCGTCGTCTCACCTGTCGCGTGTGATGCGTTATCCGGCTACAGCAGCAGTGATGACAACCAAGTCCACCGGCCTGCCAACGCCAAAGGAAGAAAAGGGCGGCCATCCAGACGACAAACATGGCTCGCTGGGGCCGACGAGAGTGAAGAAGAAGATGCAATCAACCCTGAACCCTGAACCCATATGCGAGCATGAACACTCGTCGTGTAGGTCTGCGACATGAAGCAGTAGTTAAGTCTATCATATCATGCCCTCGTGATGTTGCTTCGAATGTCTGCTACCAGCTCGTCAAACATGCTCAGCAATTACCAGCATAGCAAGGGAAGCTACAGAGTGTTGGGATGCGATACAGGAATGCTGGTACACGATCTGCCAACACATGTGTGAGTGTACGAAGTGCAACTGTGGAATGCGACTGTATGCGGTCCATCACCCGCTTGGCGTGCAGACACAAGCCCAAGAACCCTGAGGAACTACCCAGTTACGAGCGTGAAATGCAGCGGCACGATGCAAGGAGTGGCCATGGCACGTACAAGCCACTTGAAGAGCCTCACTAACGAGCCACACGGTTGGTATACTCCTGTGTGAAATTTCCAAGGAGTCTGGGACCCTTTCCATCACACGCAGCATGTTGATACCCAGAGTTCCAATCAACATACTTGTAAACCCCTTTCCTTCGTTGACTCCTTCATGAAGTCTCGTGCTGAGGCCCGGACGTCACTATATAATTCCTTCGTTTGAACAAACAGGCAATATATGTTAACTCGGCCACGGAAACTCCTCCGCTGGCCAAGCCACGAAACATGTATATAATTGTTGGTACTCCGAAACCTCCGCTAGGCAAAGACACCTTAGCGCGACAAGGCTTTCGGATTTCGTCCTGCTGATGCATTGGGAACTACAAGCCATTGGGGAATGACAGTGCGTAGGTCTTCGTCATTGGGGAATGACAGTGCGTAGGTCTTCGTGTCGTGCCAGTACTCGTTACCGTTCACTTCGCCTACATGTGACAATACAAAGACACAGAAGTTTTAGGGTGGACGCTCGCATTACAAACTTATAGTGCAGTGTCGTTAAAATTCACAACGCCTGCAATACAAAGACGGAGAAATGTCAGGGTGGACCTTTCCTTCTTCAAACTCACAACGCCGACGACACGGAAATAGAGAAACCAGCTGGACGTTTACAAAGATACAGATAAACTATGCATTACAAACTTGTAATGTCCTTGACGTACACAACGCTGTCAATACAAAGATACGGAAGTTTCGGGGTGGACGTTCGCGTTACAAACTGGTATTGTCTTTATGGTTCACAGCGCCTACAAGACACGGACGCGAACATTTCAGGTGGACGTTGGCGCTACAACCTTGTGGTGTCCTGAAAGTTCACAACACCTACAGCACAAAGATACGGACAGTTCAGGGTGGGCGTTCGCCTTTCAAACTTATAGTGTTGTCCTTCAAGTTCACAACACCTACAATATTGGAACACAGAAACTAGCTCACAATACCTGCCATACAAAGATAGAGAAACAAGGTGGATGTTTACAAAGATACAGCAGAAATTATCTGGGCTTTCGAGTTACAATCTTATAGTGTCCCTAAAGTTCACAACGTCGCAATACAGAGATACAGAAATTTCAGGGTGGACGTTCGCATTACAAACTTAAAGTATCCTTGATTCGACAACGCCTACAAGACAAAGCTGCAAAGAAAATCAGGTCGACGTTCGCGCTACAACCTTGTAATGTCTTAAAGTTCTCAACACCTGCAATACAAAGGTAGGGACAATTCAGGGTGGGCGTTTGCGTTACAAGCTTATAGTGTCATCCTTAAAGTTCACAACGCCTATACAGTATGAAAATACAGAAACTGAAAAGCCCGTGTTAGCGTTACAAACTTGTAATGTTCTTACGTTTCACAACGCCTAAACAATGCAAAAAACAAGAATTACAACCAAGCCCTGCTGACTACTACTACTACTACTGCTACTACTGCTACTACTACTACTACTACTACTACTACTACTACGTACTACTACAACCAGCAAATGTCTTCTACGTATCGGCCAACATTGAGCTGGAGCCAAAAAACGGAACAAGCCTCTTGATATACCAATTTGGCAACAGCCTTCAACCCAGCCAGCCCGTTTTGCAGCCGCAATAGCAAGCGTGTCGAGGCTCAGCCCATGTCGCCATCGACATCGCCTCACGGGCCACAGGAAGCTGCATTCCAACGTATTCCAATCATCTAAGCGAGCTGCCACCCCGAAGGCTCGTGTGAACGTCACCGTCGACATTGCCGCCTGAAGGTGAGAGGAAGGCATCATCGCAACGGGAAAAGAACCACTCCCAGAGTTCTGGCAGCACGAAGCGCTCACGCACAGCAAAGAACGCAGATCGCAAGACGACAGCCAGCGCGATGCTTGTACTTACAAGTTTGTGTGATCGGACTTTCTGGTATGAAGGAGCCCTGCTGAGTGCTGTACTCGCGGGCTTCCTGGGCTTGCCGGTTGTGTTCATCACATGGAGCCCGTAAGGGACATCATCGAAGCGGCCTAGCCACGCACAGGTCGTGATGCCGGCTGTTGGGACGCAGTTGCTCGGGCCGGCCTGGCGCTCTCGCCTTGATGCACGTCTCAGCGATCACCATCTTGTTGTGGTCCAGGGCCGGGCTCACGACCAGCATCCCCTTTGCCTGGCGACGAACGAGTTCGACATTATTAATTATTACTCTTACACTCGACTCCAGCACGTCCCTCTCACACCGAGAAGTCCACGGCTTTGGGAATGACGTTGGAGTCGGACACCTGGATGCGACTAGTCCCTCGGACTGACCAACTCTCGACTGCAAACACACGCGATCAGTCGCGTCGGCTGCCTCGAGAAGGCCAACCTTGAAGTAGAGAGCCATGACCTGCATCAGAGATAGAACGCATATCGGACGTGTCAAGACATGATACCGTAATACCTGCCTCGAAAGTTCCGGGAAACACAGGCAGTAGCGGGATTGCTTGAGCAGCTTGAGAATGCTTTCGGTTGCTAACCATGCGTTGAGTCAGTTGCTTGGGCTGATGCCAGCTCGTGATGTGTTTCCTGCAAAACGGTACGTTCTTGTTGATTGCGTCCTAGGAGTTGTTCTGAAGGGAATGTTTCGCACGACCGTGCGGCGAAAGCGCACCGAACCTAAGTGTTTTCGACAAGAACATACAAAACACACGTTAAAACAAGGCGTTAAGTGCGAGACCAGAGGTGATGGCATGAAAACTAGCCAACAATCCTGACAGAAATCAAGCGGTTTGTGCTGTTCACAGGAGTTACTCGTCTTTCGTGCGATCTCCCGCACCCTCCGCTCGGCGGCATAAAAATCCACAAAATTCAGGTGCGGCATGGTTGTTTAAGGCGATATGTGTTTTTCCGTCTTTCGTTGGGAATCTACTTTTGGACCCCGTTTAAAAAACAAACACAAAGTTGGCTTTGCTGACAGCTTGGTTTCAAGTTGGGGTTAGTAGATTTGCTTGTTTGGTTTGTTGGGGTTGTTGCGGAGGCTTTGCTTAAAGCTTGGTTTCAAGTTTGGGTTAGTAAGGCTTGCTTTGTTTGGCCGCGCTACCGTCTCATAATCGCCAGCACTCAGGAAACGCCCCTGTTTAACGCCTGGGGGAGGCGAGCACCTTGGCAAGCAGGGGTCTAGATAGGGTTCGGGCTTCTAGTTCCTCTAGACAACTTTTTCCCTTTTCCAAGGGGTTTTCACGCTCCATGGCGCTCGAACAGCTTCGCCGGGGTTTAGGGTTTAGGGTTTAGGATTTGGGAGTTTCCGAAAATAGGGGACCCTAGTATAGTACCCTAAATAGTAGGATCCCTATTATCAGGACCCCAAAATAAGGTACCCCCAATTTTCGGAAACTCCCATTTAGGGTTTAGGGTTTAGGGCTCTGTCAAAGCCTTGGTGCTATTGGGGTAATCTACGGTTCCGTGGCAGACGGTCAGTTTGGGGCACCGGGTGGTCCAGTATACTTAAAGGATCATGGGACGTAGTAACTAGGGTTCCTCAAAGGGCTCCTTAAAGGGGATCTGTAAGGTTTATGTAAGGGGGGTTTAGGGGTACTTAAAGGATCATGGGACTTAGTAACTAGGTTTATAATTAGTAGGGTAACTATACCTATAACTACTTACAAGCCCAAGTAAGGTACTTACAACCTTACTTACTAAGTCCCATGATCCTCCAAGTAGGGTTTCTGATCACTTGAAAAAAGTTTTGGGCACATTACGGTCTATCAGCAGCTGCATTGCACATTACGGTCTATCAGCAACTGCGCTGACGGCGTATTACTGGGTTCTCGTTAGGAAACTAATTTCAGTTACCATAATGAAGAAACCACGGTCTTGATTATAGATCCCTATTCTGGTTACTTAAGTTGGAACCCAGATTAGGGTTTCGGGCTCGGGGCGTAAGGCTTTGTGTAAAGAGCTGGGAAGTTCTTAGGGGAACGTCCGGTCGCCTGTCAAGCATCCCTGGAATACAGCCTTCCAAAATCTGTCGGGCAAGTCCTCGCCGTTCAACAGACTCCGGTTCGGAGATCGCCATGATGGTTGGGGTCAGGTCTGGCATGCTGAACGAGCTCAGAACGATGGGCATGGCTGCTCGCCCATCTACTTAAAGGATCATGGGACTTAGTAACTAGGGTTATATTTAGGGTAACTATACTTATAAGTATAACCTTACTTACTAAGTCCCATGATTCTGCAAGTAGGGATCAAGCGCTGAATGCTAGAGAACGGAACATTTCGCAGGCCGAAAAACTTTCAGAAACCGTCGCACACCTGTAGGCTGACTGCTTTGATGCCCTGTTGGTACTGAGCAGTGACAGGAACAAACAAAGTGTCCCTGATCATGGGTCCCCACTATCACGCACAGGATATTGCTTGACTCAAAGCCCCTTCAGGTTTCAAAAACACTGAGAACCGCCACACTGTTCATTGAATCCAACATAAACCCCGGACCAGACTGAATCAATCAACCCTAAACCAACCAACCCTAAGCCTAAACTTAACCCAAACCCCTAAACCCTTAACACCTTAAGCCCTAAACCCTAAACCCTCAACACCTTAAACCCTAAACCACTAACCCTGAACCCGAAACCCTACCACCGGCCGCAAAGTCCTGCAAAATATCTCAAAACTGCGCGGCAAAGCTCAATTGCCATCCTAAAGGGAACTCCAGAAAGTTGGAATATGGTTTCAGGGTAGGATACCTTATAATTTACCATATAGGATAATCATATTCCAACTTTCTGGCTTCTACTGTAATCTATCGCGATCGGGTAGCTGGCTAACCGTCCCTAAACCTGAAACCCTCAACCCTAGTTATGAAAGTCCCTGTACCCTAAACCCTAGCTCTTAAAAGTAAAGCCCGAGACCTTAAACCCTAAACCTAAAACCCTAAACCCACAATAATCCTAGAACATGCTGAACCTAACACCCTAAACCGTAGTTCTGAAGCCATAAGCCCACGCGAACTGAATGGCAGGCAAGGCTCCATGGAGTTCACTGGCACGGGTGGCTCCTGGTCGAGGCTTGGGGATTCGCTTTCTTTGTTCAGGGTTTAGGCCGGCAAAGACTGAACAAAAAGCAAAAGACACCATTAATAATGATAATAAGGTTTTTGTCCCCATTATACTATACTTATAATAAGGGACCGGTTCAGGGGTCTATAAGGGATCAATCATGAATCTATAAGGGTTCTATAGGGGATCTATAAGGGTTCTATAAGGGATCTAGAAGGTTCAGGTTCCAGGGATTCAGGGTTCAGGGGTTTAGGGTTCAGGGGTTTAGGGCTTGAGGTAACAGCCAGAAAGTTGGAATATGATTATCCTCACCCTGCTATGGTAAATTATAGGGTATCCTACCATGAATCCATATTCCAACTTTCTGGAGTTTCCTATAGGGGGTTTGAGTCGAGGTTAAACCAGTTTGGGGTTCCCGGTTTTGGGTTTATTTGGAGGACCGTGGGACTTAGTAAGTAAAGGGTTCCCTAAAGGGCTCCTTAAAGGGATCTATAGGGTTTCTATAAGGGGATCTATAGGATTAAGGTTTAGGGTCTACTTGGAGGATCTTGGGACTTAGTAAGCAAGGTTATAAGTACCTTAAATGGGGTTATAAGTAGTTATAGGTATAGTTACCCTAATTATAACCCTAGTTACTAAGCCCCATGATCCTTTAAGAAGGGGTTTATGGGGTTTAGGGTTCAGGGTTCTTTTCTTGTCTAAACGCACTAAGGGTTCAGGGTTTGGCGCTTTAGGGGTCAGGGTTTTCCATCTTGAGGACGAAGCCAGACCAAGGTACTTGGAGGGGCAGGGGACTTAGTAAGTAGGATATAAGTAGTAGAGTTATAAGTACCCCAAACGGAGTTGCCACAATTAAAATTATAACCCTACTTATAAACGACTTACTAAGTCTCCTGCCCCTCCAAGTAGGGTCTCCTGGAGGCTGCACCATAAGGAGGGACCTGCTGTTTCGTGAATCATTGCCAGAACTAGGCGGGGCGTTGAAAGCTTTTGAAAAATATTAGTAAATTAGATCCTCTTGAGCTGAATAAAGGAAAATATGAAATGTCCCAAAGCCCTACCTAGAGAAGGTTTCTTCATGGGATGTTGAGCTCTGTCGAAACTTCTTGCGCGTGCTTGCGTGCAGGACGGGGCCTGAGTTGAGCCCGGGTCCGACACTGACGGCCCCATGCAGTGCCAAAGGGGTCTAGCCAGTGGGTCGAATAATGGAGGTGAATGGAGTTTTTGGACCTTTTATAGTCTATTTACACTAAGCAACCCAAAGGAACAACATTGGGAACTATGTCGGCCACCATATTACTCGGAAACCACGGCCGTCCTGATTACCAGCCCGACTTCGGCAGTGGCCCTAGAGCTCGTGCTGTCTTGGTGACTGGTGAGTACCGCGGAGTGGTCTGCCGATGTTCAGATCCGTGCGGCCTCCGGAATGCTACGCCGCTTTCACCGAAGAGCCCAATCCGACCTTGACCTGAAGTCCCAAACGACATGACATGTTTAGGGGAACCTCACTGAACACCTCGGGAGCCCGTCTAGAATCCTTATGGCATCCAACAGCCTTGCAACACGCTTCAACTCGTCCACTCCCAGACCCAAGCAAGAAACATACATTGGGGTCTACGGTCTAGGGTTTGGGGGTTTAGGGTTTAGCTGGGCTCCAGAGAATGAGCTAAGCACCCTTCCAGTAGCCTGTTTTGGACTATTCAACGACAACCTACCGCAAACCCGCGATAACAACATAGGACTGACCCCTGTGCAACCTGCAGAACGCTGCGCACGAACAACCTCTAGGCGGTCTTATCAAATTATCCAAAACGAGACCTACACCAAAGACACACAACACAACCTATACGGCCTTACAAGAACCGCATAACATCCTTGCCCACGAACTGGCAGTTGCTAACAGAAAAAAGTTTCCCTCGCAAACAAATATCAAAAACCTCGACCCCTAACCCCAAACCCTTAAACCCTAAAACCCGAGACCCCGAACCCCCCAAAGCTCAAACCCCCAAACATCAAAACCCTGAACCCGTAAACCCCAAACTTCCCAACCGTAAACCCTAAACTCCTAAACCCCTAAACCCAAACCCCCAAACCCCTAAACCTCTGAACCCGCGGCCGCTATAGACCCTAAACCCGAATTAAACCCCTAGACCCCTAAACCCCTCAAGCCTAAATACTAAACCTCCAAACCCCGAAACCCAAAAAGCCCGCCTCCTGGGCCCGTCGCCGAGCGACCGAGCCGCGGAAGGCGGTACCTGCATGCGAGTCGGGAGAGAGGGGGGATTTAGGGTTTAGGGGGTTGTGGGGTTTGGGGTTTAGGGGTTAAGGGTTTTTGGGGTGTAGGGTTTTAGGGTTTAGGGCTTTAGGGTTTTAGGGCTTTTGATGCTTCGAGGTTTAGGGGTTTTGGGGTTTAGGGCTTAGGGTTTTGGGGTTCAGGAAACTTTTCGGGCTCTGGGGCTTAGGGTAGGGTTTTTAGGGGGTTTAGGGGTTCTGAGTTTAAAGAAAGGTCTTGAAGTTCAAGAGTGTATGGGTTTAGGGGCTGTCCGTGTTTAGGGTTTCAGGTATATCGATTCCGGGTTTAGGGTGTAGGGGTTAAGTGTATAGGATGCTTGAAGCACCCAAAGGCTCAAGTCTGTAACACCGTCAAAAGCTGATCTGAAGGCTCATTTCGGGTGATTTAGAAGGTTGCCACCTTGCCATGGACGTAGCTTGAGACGAGCCGCTCGCCCGTCATTCAGTGTTACGGGCTTCATCGCTCGTAGCGCTTCTGATAAGGGTGCCTTTGGGGTTCCTACAAAGGTTCAACAAAGTCGCTGTAAAGCTTCCATTGATTTTTTTCCGGTGTGTTGCTCTTTGGCGAAGGATTTGGCAAGGGCTGCAAATTCTTTCACGAATGTCTTCAAAAAGCTGCATGGGTCTCGACAGGTCTTATATGGTTTAACAATAGTACGGTTGAAGGTTTTAGGCACAAGCTCCCCTGTCAGCATTTTCGAGGGAGTCTGATTCATGCTGTACAGGCTCAGCCTTTAGTTCATGCTTCCCACACTCACAACAAATCGAAGGGTATCTTGGAACCTTTTGCTTGCAGGACCCTTAACGGAACTCTGTAAGAACCCTTACCAACACCCTTCTAGAGAACACTGCTTGGAGAATCGTGGACTTAGAAGGTCTAACTATTTACAAGGCTCTGAGTATCTTTCTCGGTGTTAAGTACCCATAAGTGTAGCTACCTGAAACCTTCAGAGATCTCTGACAGAACCCCTCAAGGAATATTAAGGAACACTTAAAGAACCTTGAGAAATAATGCTGGTATTATATAGAACCCTCTAGTATGATGGAATTTTGGACTTTTGGCCCTCAGCCCCCTGTAAGCCCTCACAAGCTCTACATTGAGATAGAACCCTACTTGGAGGGTCGGGGGACTTAGTAACTGGCTATCTTCGGGACTTATAAGTACCATAACCCCAAATTAGGGGTCCCCTTTAGGGTACTTATAAGTCTACTTACTACCTACTTACTAAGTCCCCCGACCCTCCAAGTAAGGACCTTGCCCAGGCTCCTAGGGAAACTACAGGTTACTTTGGACTATCTAGGGATACCCCAAACCCCAAACCCTGAACCTCAAATACTAACCTCAAATCCCAAGCCGTTGTCAGAACCCTAAACCCCAAATCCTGAACCGGTAATCTTATACCTTATAGATTCCCCATAGATCCCTTTAAAGGATCCCCTTAAAGGAGCCGTTATTCTCTGCAGATCCCTTTAAAGGATCCCCTGAAAGCAACTTCAAGAGGGCCTTCATCTGCAGAAGCCAGATCCTCAGTTCACAGCCGCGGAAGAAACTTTGGGGTTTGATAGCATTTTTGGCATCTAAACCCTAAACCCTAAACCCTAAACCGTGTTTAGGGCTCCAGGGTTCTCGGGTTTAGAGTTTAGGGTTTTTAGGATTTAAGGTTTAGGGCTTTGGGGTGTTGGAGCTTATGGTGTAGAGTTTAGCAAACTTCAACCTTAAGCCCAAGGCCTAGACTTTGCTGCGCCCTGAGACAAACTCTGCAAGGCCAACCCTGGTTTAGGGTTTAGGCATGTTTAAAAGGGGGTCCTTGAAGGATTCCTTAAAGGGATCTGGAGGGTTTAGGGTTTAGGGTTTACTTGGAGGATCGTGGGACTTAGTAAGTAAGGTTAAAGTACCTTAATGAGGGTTACAAGTAGTTGTAAGTATAGCTACTCTAATTATAACCCTAGATACTACGTCCCACGATCCTTTAAGCAGACCCTGTGGTCGTTTCCTGCAGACATCGCACCTAGAGATAACGCCTTACATCTGAGGTACAGTATAGGCGCCTGAGCGATTGGAATAGGTTTCTGGTGTGCTACACAATAAGTGTACCTAGAAGGAAACGTTTTGGGTTGAGGAATACGTTCTTAAACTGGGGGCATTGGGCCTTGCACTGCTACGGTTGATGATATAAATCCTGCATTACCCATAGTAAGGAATTTACCATAATTTCCATAGTGTAGGGTCCTTAAAGTAATGCAGGATTTATATCATCAACCGTAGAACTGCTGCCCGGAGGGACTGTGATCAATATTGTTCTTGGCTTCGCTGCCTTCCTCAACAGGTCGCAGGCTCTCCCTAAACTCTAAACCCTAAACGATCTTCACCGAGAGTCTCCGAGTCCTCTGCCATGTAGAACGTCGCAGGGTTTTTCTGCAAGCGGACCCTTGCAATCATTGCACTTGAGCCGCCTCCAAAAGCTAATTAACTCTTGAAGCCCTTGTCAGAAGAACTGTAGAGAAAGCCCAAACATTAATTTCCCCAGGTCCTAGCTAAGCGATATTTGGGGGATCCTTGATGCCCAGCGTTGCCGACGTCTGCTTTGGAGGTCTTCGTGCTTTGGAAAGCAAGGCTTTACATGTATTCCTAAACCTAGAGCCGTCTGAACCCCAAAAACTCAAAAACCTATGTGATTGTGGGTTGACTTGATCAGGGCTCTGAGTGTCGGTGACGATGCTGAATGTCGGACTTGTCTGCAGCTGCTGCTGTTGCTGCTGCTGCTGTTGAAGTCTGGTTCTGATCTGAAAGGGAACATCATCAAGAGAGGAGTATGGGGATGACATCCCCAACACCCCTTTTCATCAACCCCTAACCCTCAACACCCAAGTACACTTCTCGATTTCTTTCGCTGTCATCTTGAGCCACGCACGGTGGCCATGCTAATCTTCTGGTATCGTTCCTGCCAAAAGCAAGGTGTCATCCTTGCGCAGGGGTTATGCAGACGCTCTGCTGCACAATCTTCAACTGATCTCGCACAGCTACTACAGATGCAAACACACTCCTCCTCACCTGACAAGCCAACGGCCTGGAGGGTGCTCAAACTGTTGCATCAAAGTAGCGGTTACGTTATCAAAGTCGCAGGGCCTCGGAGTCTTTACATGCCATGCCCCCGGAATGGCCAGGCCTTGGGAACCCTTTCTTTTTTCGAGGTGCTTGATTGTTCTTGATCCCCAGTGGGCTAAACTGCGACATTATCAAGCTAATTTCGCCCTGTACTAATCAGTGGACGTTCCAATGGCGATATCATGCATGCCTGCGCCGTGTGTTCTCACAGTGGCAGACAACTCAACCTCTCAGCGACCACCTGGAAACTCATGAGAGACTCAGATGATGCAGAGAAGGAATATAGGAGCTATGCAAGTGCTTCGGTTGCAAATAAAAACTCCCATCACGTCGTTGTGCGAAAGCGTGTCTCAGCTAACATGTATGTTGTCATCATGAACTCGGCACACACCAATGGCTCTGCGAAACTGCTCCAACTTCAGACGAGGAAGAGTCTTTGTAAGCAAATCAGCGGTCAACTCGCTCCCGGCCTTGTGTGACAATGCAATTCCGGACTCTTTAAGCACATCACGGATCCACGATGCACGGAGTCCGAAATGCCTTGTTCTCCAAAGCGTTTCCTGGAACCGCGGCTTGGTCAAGGAAGCAATGGAGGCGGCATTGTCGCCTTCCGCCAACTTTTCACTGACTTCTCCAAGCTGTGTGACATAACATTCAAGTCGTAGCATGTCCGCAAGGGCATCGGCCATGGCAGCAGTTTCAGCTTCACATGTTGAGAATGCGGTCAAAGTTTGTCGCGTTGACTTGTACATCAAGGTGTTCCCGCCCCACTTAACCAAGTAGCCTGAACGTGAGCGCGATGCTCCACTCCCGAATGATGCATCTGACTCCAGTGACAAACTGTTGCATGAATTGGCTGCAAACCACATGCCAAAAAACATAGTATATCGAATGTACTTCCACATGCCTACAACCTTTTGCAACACCATGTCCGGCCTTAAGACGATCATCGTCGAAAGTATACCGCATGTTGCCGCAATGTCTGGTCTCGTCTTTGTGGCAAGCCACATCAAAGTGCCCAGCTCACGTTGAGCTTGCTTCAAGATCTTTGGCTCACATTGTTGCTCATTTCCTTTTGAAATCTTTCCTTCCTCAACCTGAGGTAGACAAGGACTGCCGTTCAAATGCAGATAGCCTCTCAAGTTGAGTTGTTTCACAACCCATCGCTGCTGGGATGTGGCAACCCCCTTGTCATGGAAGAATACTTGAATGCCAACAAACACCAGCTCAGGCTTCTTCATCACTTCAAGAGACCCTCTTGTCCACTTCTGGTTTGCGTCACGAGATATCATCCCTTGAAGTTTTCCCTTCCACGATTTAAGGATAAATTCCCCAATTCGCAAGATTGCCTCCGTCTCACCAATGGCAAGCACATCATCAACAAAGACGCATGCCACAGCCACAAGCTCCTGAGTATCGCGCCTCTTGATCAAGAAAACGCCGCCAATCCCTTTCATGGCCTCAATCACCAAAACAGGCAGCTCATCTCCTGCAGCTGGCTCAAGGATCGCCCCACTCAGGATTGAATCCCGATGTTCTTCCCATCTAGCCGGGGATTGACGCAGGCCGTATATTGCCCTCAAAGCTCGTAGCCATACGCCTTCTGCAATCAAGCCAAGTTTCACTAATGATTTTGGCGGTTGCATTAGTATGATGTCACTTCCGGTCAACACGGCATTGAGAAAGGCTGCACTTATATCAAGTGATAGCGCTGCCCACGTCACATGCATCGCCAAGAGCGTCAACATCAAACGTAGCACCTCAATTGGCACTGTTTCAGCTGCGTTTGCATCCTTCATTCCAGGCTTGACTTCTTCGAAGTTTCCACAAACGCACAATCGAACCTTCGGCTTGAAGCGCTTCTGCTCGGACGCCTTCACCTCGTCAGCTGACTGCGATGCTGAGCCTTGTTTGTGTTTACTCTCAGATTCACCATTCGATTTCTCATCACACTTGTCCCCCTGCATTAGCAGAGGTTTCCGGGTACAAACAACCGTCATCGGAAGCACCTTAGGCAAACGCTGATGTGGTCCAATACCCAATTCTTCTCGGGCTCGGTTGATGTTCACCTCTACCCATGCTGTGTTTGTGACCATGTTTGATACTTCGTCTCCAGCTGCCTTAATCCACGGCTGACGGTCTTGTTCTGATCCCGTGAAGAAAATGCTACTGGGCACCGGTTCTCCTGTGACTTCTTCCTCAGCCAAAAGCCGGAGAGCAACTTCCATTTCATTCATGGCATCCTCAGTGTCGGCGTCGAACACCCGATACCAGTTGTCCTTGCACTCCTCCTGAAAAGACTCAGTATGTTCACCGTTGGCAGCCACAATGGGTCCAGAGGGCTCCGGCTCAACCAAGAATCCATGACCGAAGAGGCTGAACAAAAGCTCTGGCTTCAAGTGTTCCTTGAAACGTTGTTTGATGATGTCAGAAGCCGTGTTTCCATCATTCCATGCCTGTACTGCCCCAGTTGCTTCCTCAACTGTGATCAAGTCTGCAGGTGGTGCATCCCAACAAACATCCCCACAAGTGCTGATCCATACAACCTGGTCCTGAGGTCCCTTCTCCAGCCTCCAGCGCGGGGATTGTTTGTCAACCAACACTGGCATTCGTGCTACTCTCACTGCAGTGCCTCCGTCACGCACTACCATGACTCGGGCTCCCCCTGGAGTGCGTTCATCATTCGCCAGGAAGATCCCTTCTTCAGCTTTGGGAGCAAAGGGGTGAGTGTCAGGACTAACAGGCTTTCGCAAAAGTACTGTGTCACCCATATGGGGACGATCCTTAGGAATGACCAATTTCAAAGCGCGACATCGCCTAAGAAACGTTGCTTCCAAAATGGCTTCGTCCCATAACTGCAGTGGCAATTGAGCATGGAGTAAAAGCGATGCTGCAGCTTGCTTCAGGATGCCAACTAGACGCTCAGCTCTGCCATTCTGTTGTGGATTGTATGGAGCACTCCTGGTTGGCCAAAGGCTGCAACTTTCCACCTCCTTTTGAAATGCCCCACCCACGAACTCCTTTCCAGCATCGCTGTGAATGCGAAATACCGAGGGAGTTCCTTGCACAAGTGAGATAATCTGACACATCACTGAGTTCAATGCCTTGGCCACCTCTGACGACTGCTTTGTGTATAGTAGCCGAGAAAACGGAAGATCATCACCATCAACACTCAAGTTGGCTACCATGAAGTACCGATGTCCTGAGAAAGCATGGGGATGTGGCCCGGACAAATCAAGAGATAACGTTCCTCGCGCAACATCCTCAGCTGTGAGTCGCCTGCTCTTCCGCTTATGTCCAGCAGACTCCGAGCACTTTGGACAGTGCCTCTCATACAAGCCCTTTGAACACTTCGACTGGAGCAACTGCACTGCCCTCTGTCGCGCTGCCTCATCGAAGCTTGACGCTAAAGATTTCTCT